CTCATCTTAAGAGAAACCAGATTTAAGCGGGTTAAAAAAACTGGGTAATTGGTTCGTGTAATGATACACTGGCATTGCTGGAACTTAGGCTGACGCACTGCCAGGCGATCAGACAGTAGTAAACAAGTGTAGTTGCCTTAGCGAGCTCTGCGTTGGCCGAATGAACTCACCTAAAATACAAACTCTTTAACACATTTTTTTTGGTCATTAAAATTATAGTTTTTTTTTTAAACAAATGACTACCAACTCAGTCTTTTTAGAATTAGCTTGCCAATTAACTAAAAAAGTATAATAGAAAAATGTAAACATTCCTTACTGGGAAATTTTCAATAACACGCAGATTTCTAACGTTAATTAAAAAAACAGTTTCAAGTTTTTTTTGGTATAACAAATGTAGCTTAATTAAAAAAATATTAGTGTTATGCTCGCTTGGTTCTAAGTCGATAAAGAATAAGGGTAGTGCCGCAGTGGTAATTTAGTTCGACCCTATAGTACATTTACTACTTGTAGAGCGTTGAAACCAAGAAATGATAACTCTTGTTTTATATCGTCAATCGGAGTGGTATGATGTAGGTCTCGAAAAACCACTGTAAACGGTTTGTCTTGTTGCATTTGGAAAGTATGAAAATCAACATTTTCTTTTATAAATACACTCACAATTTTACGGTAGGCGTCTGATAAGTTGGTTTGTAGTTTAAGCCTTTAATAATGCTTTTACAACTAAACTCCTTCGAAATCCTTTTAATGAATGTAAATTTGATGTACATTTTATGTAAAAATTAAGATTAAAATCAATGATAAAAAAAAAAAACAACTGACATAAAATATACACTAAATTAAATTTAAGGAAAAATATATAAAAGGAACCAGAGTATCAGAATAGTACTATTTGTGTTTTAAACATACATCAGTGAATCCATAATATCATCATAAATTACACACTGTATAGCTATATAAGTTCATCAGCAACCAAAATTATGAACTTTCCATTTCAACAGGTAAGTTTCACTACCAAAATTAAAATATTTTATTGATTTTGTACTTTATGTAGTTATTCTTTACAAGACACTTAAGTTGGCATTAAATATTATCTGTTAAAACCATTTTTTTTTTTAAAGAGTTTCATTGCCTCAAATATTATATTTTTTATATTATTCAAGGATTAAAGTTTAAACTTAAGACGTATAGAAAGATTATTATTACCTTAAGCAATACTCAACGAAACGTCAAATTTTTAAAATTATAGCAATCATTTCACGCTTTAGGTCACTTTCTTAAATACACAATGTTAAAATATATATTTTTGGTATTATATTTAAATTTTATTGTGCCAATAAACATTGTAAGTTAGCTCAAAATGTTAGACAAAGGACATATTTTGAGACACTATAAGTTTTTTTGACTTTTAGATGTTAGGTGTTATTTTATAACGCTTAACTCTTAAATCTTACCAGTAGTTTTAACTTATTGTAACTTTTTAAATTTAAACCGGAACCTCTATATTTTTTGGGATATTATTTAAGTAAATAATATTTTAAACCCAAAAATGTTAAACGACTTTTTAATAACATACTGTTCAAAAGTTTTTGTTAGTGCTCTATACAGAAGCATTTTTAGGAATATTCAAATCAGATAATAACTATAATCAGATAATCAGATTATAATTTAAAATGTAATATGTTTTGAAAACATGTACTATTTTGTGATTTTTAAAATAAGAATTCAAATGGAATACTAACTTTAATTTAGTGTACAAACACACAATAGCAAATATAAAAGAATGACATAAAAAATTAATCACAATTGTGTATGTTTAGCTGAATATTATTAACCGTCTTCTTCTTTACTGCAATGTATTAAAATAGTTAATATTTATAATATATTTAAATTGATTGGAGCCATAAAAAAAATTATAAGTTAAAAAATTCCAATTCATACTTCGCTTAATTTACAGATATATTCTGTGAGCTATTTTTAATACATTTTACATAATATATACAAACTAAAGTAAAACGCAACGAAACTCGGTAAATGTCGAAAATTCATAAAAGTTGTTGTTTGAAAACAGTAGTATAATTAAGAATGTTTCAAAGTCGTTATGTGCAATAAATCATACACAAACGTGGGAAAAAAAACAATTTTTTACAGGCAATAATTAAATATGGAAATATGATTGAAGCGTAATTTAATAAGGTACGCTAATTTAAATTCAAATAAAAAAATATAAAAAAAACCAAAATGTCAGAAATTTACTTTTTGGGTTTTAAACTTCCACCAGTGAAATCAAAATATCATCACAGAGTACATAGTATTATTTTACTGTATTATATTGTCGGCTTCCAAAAACATGATGCTTTTATTTCAACAAGTAAGTTTCACTATCAATTTAATGTTTGAGTGCTTTAAGTAGTTAACCTTTATAAGAAACTAATTTAAGCGTTAAATAAAATCTGTTCAATTAAAAACCTTAATTTTTTTTACAGTTACGTGGTTTATTGCCACACATAGTATATCATCAATAGTATTTTAGTATTAAAGTTTAAACTTAAGATGGGTAGAAAGATGGAGTAAAGTATTATAACTATCTGTACCTAACCTGTAAGCAATACTCGAAGAAACTCCACCTCTCGAAATTTTAAAATAAAATAACTTAAAAAACAATTATTTAAAGCTGGTGGTCGACCATTACAGAAGTTTAATTTAAAAAATATGTATATAAGGAACCTATTTATGAGAAATTTACTATTTGTGTTTCAAACTGATAACAGTGAAACGATTATATCATTAAAAAGTACATAATGTTATTTTACTTTATACCTATATAATTTCATTCCATATCAACCATATCATTCCTTTGGTCTCTTCCTTGAATACACAATGATAAAATATGTTTTATTTATATTATATTTAGATTGACTTGAGCAATAAAAAATTGTAAGTTAAATATTTTCAATTCATATTTTTCTTAAATTTCAGATTTATTATATGAGTTATTTTCAATCCATTATACTTACACTTGTATTAGTTACAACGATAGTAATTTTTCTAACAAAAAAAATACAAAGACAAATTACTTTGGCTGCTCAAATACCTGGTCCAAAAGGTCATTTTATTGTTGGAATTCCAACGATTGCAACTCGAGGACCAGAAAAGTTATTAGAGAATATGAAATTGTTATGCAAGAAGTAAGTTATCGTGAATAAGCATGTAAAGTTTTGTGGTATATTGTTGTCTAATTACTGAAAACATTTTAAAGCTAATATACAATTTATACGGGTGTAATCTAATTTGTTAAATATTATAAAGACAACATAGCAAAACCAGCTTATAATTATGCAAGAAGTAAATACTTGTAGTTAACATGCCTTTATTTTGTGGAATATAAGCCTTAAGCCAAACAAAAACCAAATTTCGAGATAATTAACAATTTTAACTATTACCCATAAAATTACATGAGAATCACATACATGCTCCAGAACGTTAAGTTAGAAACTATTCATATAAATACAAATGCAGGAATCCTTGACTGTTATTATTTTGTGAATTATTTAAATTTGTAACATAAGTACTTATGGACAAAATTTAAAACAAGTTCATTATGTTTAAGGTACAAGTATTCATTATTTAAATTTTGGTTTTTTAACAAGCTGATTGTTTGTATATCTAACGCCGAAGATATGGAAGAAGTAATGAAAAGTTTAAATTGTTTTCAAAAGGATACACCTTATCCGGTAATTGAAGATGTTTTCTCGGTTAAGGGGGTACTTACAACTAATAATGTACATGACTATAAAAAAAACAGGTAAATTATTGTTATATATAGTACCTATAATATTATGATTATAGACATTTTGTAAGAAACTAAAAAAAAAAAAAATGTTTCTATTTAAAGGAGATGAAAAATGTATTAATAAAACGTACGTTATTTAGGAAAATAATTTCTCAATGGTTAAAGTATTCAAATTTAAAATCAATGATAACTTCTTTCTACGATGAATCCAAAATTCTTGCACACATATTGAGTGAAAAGAGTAAAGGAAAACCATTTGAAATTGAAATAGGCCGACTTTTCGACCTAGCGTCGATGGACACTATTGGGAGAACAGCGCTGGGAGAAGAATTTAACTCACAAAACAAAGAAAACCATGATTTCCAAAAAAGTTATGAACGTATAGCAAAAGTAAAACTTTTTTTTTCCTTCATTTTTATAGTAACAGAAGAACATTACACGGCACTAAGAATATAATATCCGCTAATAAATTAATTGTTTTTACTTTTTAATTACAGATGTTTGCATACAGACTTTCGAACCCATGGTTTTTAATTTCGACTTTATTTTCACTGTCATCGAAAAAACATGAACAACGAAATAGTCAACATTTAATGCATAAATTTGTTAATGACTTAATTCAGAAAAAACAAGTCGAACTCAATGAAAAAGCGAAAACTACAATTATTGGGAGTTATGTCACAGATTGTGTTTCTCAAAAACCTAAATCTCTAATTGAAATTCTATTAGCAAGCGAACAACAAATATCACCCAAAGAAATACGGGACGAACTTATAACCATTATTAGTGGTAAGCATTATATTTAAACTCTATAGCTGTAAAAAGTTTTCAAACTAATTTTTTTAGTTAAAAATTTCGGTATTTCAATGATGTATTATTTAATACTTATGTCATTAAATACATCATGAAAAAAATTCACCTCATTCTCTTCAAAGTCAAAAAATCACTGCTTATTATCTAAGAATTTAAGCATGCTACATTTAAAAAAATTTAAAATATAATTTCCAAAATTGTAATAGAAATTCTACTAAATAACGTTATTTAAATGTATTTTATGTTTAAGCGGGACATGAAACAACTGCAAAATCAAATTCATTAATTATATTTATGCTGGCTCATCATCAAGATGTTCAACAAAATGTAATTTTTTCTGAAATAAACTACAATTCCATGTTTGTTTAAATATAAAATTCCTTACTTTTGACCCTAGGTATATCAAGAAATAAATTCAATATTTTCGGCTGGCGACTTTAACCGATCACCTACACACGAAGATTTACAGAAAATGGAATACTTAGAACGAGTAATCAAAGAAACTATGCGGCTTTGTTCAACTGTACCCTTAATTACCAGAAAAGTAGAAAACGAAATGATGATTGGAAAACACATAATCCCGGCAGGTAGAACCCATTAAGAAAAATATTTTTTCAATTTGTACAGCGAAATGTTAGTTAATTAATAGTTATCGAATATTATTATTTTACAGACACAATTCTTCTGATTTGTATTCAATGTTTGCATTTGAATCCCAAGTACTATAAGGATCCTGAACAATTTAATCCTGACAACTTCTTACCTGACGTGTGTCGCAATCGTCATCCTTTTGCGTACGTTCCTTTTAGTGGTGGCTCAAGGAACTGTATTGGAATTAAATACGCAATGCTTCAAGTGAAGACTACGATATCTACTCTTGTGAGGTCCTATCGGTTTTCGCCATCGGAAAAATGCCTTACGCCGAAGGATCTCAAATTATCTTTTACTATAGCAGTGGAATTTATCAATGGATGTTACGTTAAAATAGAACCGAGAACATAATAGCTTGTAAATTTAAATGTTTAGGTGGGTTTTATTTAATTAAAGTTTAATGAAATTGTTTAGTGTTCGATAACCAAATTAAAAAGAATTTTATCTAGTTATTAACAGAATAATACTTAAAGAAACAAAATTCTACGTTATTAGGTAGTGTTTTGATTCTTAGTGGATTTTTATTGTAATTACAAAAATTATTATATTTAATAAAATTAAAATGTATTTAACTTTGGTTTTCGAACACTAAAAAATTTCAGTAGTTTAGTTTTAAATATTGTAAATTAGGGTATATTGTTAACGCAAGTCATTTTGTAATGCATTGATAATAATCATTACGATATTGTGAGATTTATTATGTTGTCAAAATCATTATTATGTTTAAATTTCTTAAATGGGTATACACTGGAATTAAAACAATTAAGTGTCATGGGCTAAAAAATTGTTTAAGCGTACAAAAAAGCACTGGCGATCTTAATATTTTTTGTGTTTATTGTTAATGGTGTACCAAAAAAAACTATTTTTACGATTTTTATTTATGATCAATTATAAAAATAATTCATATTATTTAATATTAAATCAAATATTGTCTATCTACTTGTTTTTTTGTCAGATAGTGTTTCTACTGTTGTGACTGGACAACGTGTAGATACAATTTAATATTAAAAAAAAAAAGCTTGAATTAGTAAATCATGCTGTGCTTAATGATAAATTAAAAAATAACGAAGAAAAAAACATTTAAATTATGTGGTTTAATTCATAACTTTTAATCGGCATGAAATTAGGATAACTAATGTTAGTTCTTCTGGTATTCATGTCACCTCTGTATTCCTCTACATTGGTATAACTTGCACTACATGTATTCTTTGCCTCTTTAGGCCGTTTATTTATAAATAATTAAATTTAAAAAAATGAGTCAGAAGAAGAACTGAGTTTATTTAGTTTTCCTAAAACAGTTTTTCAAACGATTTCAAGCTCTACAAAACATATCAGCAAAGACACTGTCTCCAAGTAAGGTTTATAATTAAAAAAAAAAAGTGTATAAATTGTTAATCAATGCTGACAAAAATAACAAGCTTGTTACTTAAGGCTGTCTAAATTTTAACCAATTTCTATATTGAGCTATTTAAAATGTCATTTATAATTTATCACATGTGCGGTATTCGCAATTTTTTTTATGGCTTGAATCAAATTAAATATATTTTAAATAATAACTATTTTAATACATCGCAGTAAGGAGAAAGACGGTAGAAATTATTTTGAGGTAATAAGACTTTCTTCGCCTAGACAGACACTTAGCATTTATAGCTATACATATATTTTGTAACTGGGACGAGCTTGCTGATTCAGGGTTAACTGATACAAAATATTAATCTTAGTGTTCAAATGTGATAAACAATTTTATCAACTGATTACATTTTAAGAGGCATATAATTATTGTACTAAAAAATATAGTTTAATAACATATAAAATATACATACACAATTGTGATTAGTTTTTTTTTATTTACTTAAAGGTGTCATTCTTTTATATTTGATAATGTGTGTTTGTACACTAAATTAAAGTTAATTTTCCATTTGAATTTTTATTTTAAAAATCACAAATTAGTGCATGTTTCCAGAATATAGCTAATGACTAGATGGATAAAAATAAAAAGTTCAAACGATAACATATTTTAAACATTTTTGCCCACAAATTTATGAAATTATAAACATATGTTGCCATTTGGAAACGTGAACTAAACCCTTTTTATCGTATAAGGGATGGAGATAAACATTTTCAAAGTATTGAAAAACATAGTAAAACGTATATCAAAAAGAACAGGAAAAAATAATTTTCAAAATATTCATATTTCCGAGAAAATGGTGTCTTACGTTAGTTGGATGACCCTGTACAAATGATATCGATATATGCTGTTTACGACAATATGCAAAAAAGTCAATTTTGATAAAATTGTCGCTTACGCCCTTTTACCTTCTAACCATCGAAATGTTAAACGAATTTATAGTACTGTACATACTGTACAAAAGTTTTTGCTTTTTAAAGTTTATGTTCGTGCTGTTTATTGAAGCATTTTTTTAGAATATTCAAGTCAGACAATCAGAATATAATTTAAAATGTATTATATTTTATACACATTCACTATTTTGTAGTTTTTTAAAAATTAATAATTCTAATGGAATAACTCTTTTTAATTTAGTGTATAAAGTACAAACACACAATAACAAATGAAAAAGCATTACACCTTTAAGTTATTTAAAAATAATAAACATAACAATTGTATATGTATTATTCTTTTTAAAATTTGAGATTTTTTTACGACTTTATAGGTCGCCTTAGGCCTTTACGTCTTTACTGAATGTAATGTACTTAAACATGTGAGGTCAGCCTGCTGTAACTTTCGCTGTTCTCTAGTTGATAGATTATCAACACAGTAGGTGAAAGAAAAAAAATGTTCTTGGGCCATAATAGGAAGTGGTGTTAACACCGCGGCTCAACCACCAACAAAATTCCTAAAGGCGCGACTGCTCGGAAGTTAAGTGGTTGAAAACTAGTTTTGGCTAATTATTTTTTAAGTTATTTAAGTTTAAAATGTATGTCTGGAGGAAGGGTGGAATATTGAGTTATTTTTAGCTAAGCACAAAAAAACAGTAAATTTAAATACTTTAACCTTTAATATAACTACCTTTACAAAATAAAACTAATGCATTTAATTTGTTAATGATGCCTCATCATAAGAATCTAGTCCTACAGAAAAAAGAGGTGGTATTCGTGTCGACCTTATTCAAGAAGATATCACAGAGTCAATTAATCAACATATTAAAGCATTCAAATGCAAAAAAAGCCACCATACACGTAAGGATACTGGTCGAAGCTATTTATCCCCTACATTTTCTATAAAGTATATGTGGGAAAATTGGTGTAAGAAAAGAATATTAGAAAAAAAACAGACTGCTTCTTTAAGCAAATATCAGAAAATATTTACGACAAAGTTCAACATAAGTTTTGGACATCCTCGACAAGATACCTGCAGTTATTGTACAGAACAAAAAATTAAAATTCAAACAGAGAGAGATATTGACAAAAAAAATGAATTAATGCTAGAATTGACTATACATAAAAGGAAAGCTATGCGCTTTTTCGAACTACTAAAAGAAGAAACTCCTGGGGCTATCAACTGTTCATTTGATATGATGCAAACCCAGCCACTACCAAAGTTGTCTGTGACAGATGTTTTTTACAGTCGCCAAGTCTGGCTTTATAATTTGACATTTGTCATATCAAATTCCAATCAAAAACCAGAAAACTGTATTTTGTACTCATGAAATGAAACTGAAAGTGGTCGTGGACCCAACGAAGTTTATTCGGCACTAATTATTTTTTTGGAATTAATAGAAAATCGATTAAAAACAAATGAATTACCACCTACTGTATTAAACTTATTTTCTGATTCTTGTTCCGGCCAGAACAAGAATCAGTTTACTATGATTAAATTATTGTATTACATTAATTATAAAGAAACTGTGTTTAATCAAATCAATCATATATTCCCTGTAAGGGGGCACAGCTATATGCCGCCCGATCGAGTCTTTGGCCGGATTGAACAGGTTTTAAGAAAAAAAGAAAATATCCTATCTCCAAATGAGTATTTTGATGTTTTTAAGAAATTTTGCACTGTTAATGAATATGGTAAGGATTTTTAAATATATGACATTGTAACGAGCCTGCTCGCCTAGGGGCTAATCCTAGACTGAACGGTCGCCGATGGGATCGAGTAAGTGGATCTCGGCTTGAGAACGGGAAGCTACCCCGTGTCTACACTTAAGTAAAACCCAAAGTCCCCTTTATATATTTATATGCACCGCACGAGGGGCTAAACGGGCGGTCGTGCCTTTGAATGACGTAACTCTAAAGTATGCAACTATAACTATTTATTTATAAGGTAAAACTAACTATACAATGTAGATATATATAATACACTTCTACCTGGGTCCCTGAGATTGTCAGCTGGTCCTGTAGAAGTGGAGTCGAGCGAACACACACGATGCGGGATGGTAATAGGTGGCGTTAAAGCGTGGTAAAGTGCGTAAATCGGATGATGGCTAAAATAGTCGTTAATCGCGGTTCGAGGATGGTCAAGTCTCAACTGCTCGTTGGGGTCCGCGCGGAGGCTATTGTCCTGTGTGTTCGCTGTCTCCCCTACCTATTGTCTTATTGATAGATGTCCAGTTAGCGTATTTTAGGACGAGTGGTAACGGGGTGTCAAGTGTCCCCGTTACAACATAAAAAAAGCAGTGAAAAAAATTGTTAAGACTAAAATAAATTTTAAATCTAAGGAACAAAAAATGTATTATTATATAAAAGGGAAAAATGCAAGCGTTAGAGTTTCCAAAACCTATACTGGAACTTCTGATAAAAATGAAGTTATTAAAAGACATTCTGATATAAGTACATTATTAAATAATATTTCAATCTTACCAAAAACAAATCATGTCAAACTTCCAAAGCAAAATGATGTCAAAAACCTTCTAAAATTTTTCACAATACCACAGGATGCTCAAGAATTTTATGAAGATATATTTAAGAATAATGATGACCCCACAGAAGAAGATATTCTTTGTTATGATGACGATAATGAATGAATATTTTAATTCTTATGAATTATTTTTTTTTAATTATTATTTTATTTTGCTATTTGTTTTTATTTTTTAATCATTTTTTAAAATACAATTAAAATAAATAAACCAAGGTTAATTCATTTCTTGTTTTTATTTTATTTTTTATTTGTATTATAATGCATTTTTTTTAAAGGAATATAAAATAAGGTTTTATAATTTTTCAAGGTAATACAAAATATATTGTAACAAATTTACAGTCACGAAAAAGACTATACATGGAATATTAAAATGTTTAGGAAATAGTTAATATTATAGAAAAAAAAATTAGTTTGCAATGTAAAATAAATAATATTATTGACTACCTCTATACACATATAGTATGTCAAAGTATACTATTTGTTGGAAATAGTACGTTATGATGAAATATGGCCAAAAC